ACAGGAAAATTTTTTTCCGTGGATTTTCGTTTATTCGAGCGTCTAGAACAGCGGTCGTCACACTTTTCTGGCCAAGGGCCACACAGGACAATATGGGGGTCAGCGCCGGGGCGCTTCACATTAGGTCGCACAACAACCGCGCGTCACTTTTAAGTATGGAAGTCACGCGGCAACCGCGCGACCTAATGTGAAGGCACTCTAAGAGCGTTTGTCCACTTGCTCAACCACCTGATGGCCGTATGTAAGATAACATCGCTATAATTATAGCTTGTAATTCTTCAAGAAGGTCTTTGAATTTTCGATGATTAACTTAACGAGCGCGAATAACATTTATAATACTTACATCTTTCAATTTGTTTTTTGAAATTTCACATGCCAAAAAGTCTTGACGCAGCAAGTAATGAATAGGCAACAAATTAGATACTCAATCGAGCGTGTCATTCAAAGAAAATCAGGTCTTTGTGGTTAAGCATAGCACCACTGATGGAACCTACAGCGGGTCGAAACTACTGTTGGATCAGGAATACGTTAGTTTTGAGCTCATATTTCAATTAAAAAGTAATGATTCAAAAACCATGACCTCCTTTGTCACTCATGCTATAGATAATTCGTTAAAATGTAAGACCTCGTTAATCCTCGGTTGACCAAAGTTTTCACTTTTGAGGATTGTCGTTCTTGAAACACCTGGACGCCGGAAAACCCATCAAAACCCATTTCTTTAACCTCTTTCGTTTGATGCATGACTTGGAATTATAATAGTCCTCATTTTCCTTCAATGAGAAGAAGCCGTTTGCTCGAGTTGATAATTTTCCCATTGCATCACTCAGTATTTCAAGCTTCATTAGCCGATCAATATATCTGAAATCAATTACCTACTCCATACCGTCTTGGGAAATACAAACCAATTACATCAAATTGCTATTCGATAACTTCGATATATTATAAATCTACCATTACTATGCTCGATAGTTGACAAACCCGCAACCGAATGTGCGTGTCAATCTTCGAGAAAGTTGCCAAGGACAATGAAAGTTTTCAACAAAATTTCCAGGGGCGGAAACGGTTCATAGGGGCGGAAAAATATAAGCGTCACCCAAACCGGAAATGCACTGTATTGATCCATTGTCAAACCGCGACTTCACAACAGTATTGCTAATTTGCCACCCAGGAAGAATTTTCGATTAATTTTTGTCGGATATACCCGCACTTTCGGTCCAGCAGCTGAGAGTAATTAGTAGAAGTGGGTCACCTTTGACTGTGTGCTGGAGCTAAAACAAACATTTGCTTTTCAAATTATGAATGAAGTGTGTTAATATAAGCCCCTATTGGCTAGTTAGTGGGGTTTGAGTGGGGTGGGAACCGCATTCAATAGACTGTTTTAATATGCTTATAGTTTTCAATATAGATAGGATATAGCCAGCCAAGCTACCAGTTACAACAAAAAATATCATTTTTGTTGATGCTAACGGGAAGATTACGAGGAAAACCTCTCATATTTCAAGGTCTTCTATGAGTCGTCGATCTCTGGAAGGACAACTATGTTTTCACAAGGTTAGCTGTAGCAAACATCCACATCCACCAACATCCACTCTCTGGGAAGCATTTAGACTCATCAAGTGTAATTACACATCAGTGTTGTTGCTGCTCGAAAAATCTGAATCTGAATTGTAACAGATTATGCCTAACAATGTAAAATTCGACAGAAAATTGTAACTTTTGAATTAGCCGCATGCAAAGTGTAACATTTCGCCTAGAGAGGTTGGCAACACTAGCTGATTTATATTTAAAAGTGATAGTCGACATTGACAAACCCCGAGTTAACGTATGTAAACTGAAAAAAACCTGTGAGAATGCTCTTCTGTATGTTAATTGTCAGTTTTGATAGATCGACTGTCATGTTTGATACGTCAACTGTCAGTTCTGGTGTGTAAAGTGACAGTAGGTAAATTTTTCAAAATACTGTAGAATTAATAAAAACGTAACGCCAGGAACAATACTGCCCCGACTACCATCATTACCATCATTGCCAACTAATGTTTATGGGTTGCCAACATACTTAACTGACTACTCGTAAGTTTGACATATGAGCTGACAGACTATTGAGTCATCTTTTCCCAAGAAATGGCGAACTTTAAGTAAATACCTAAAGTGGTGGCAGGATTCCTCTTCTCGAAAGAAACAAAATTTTTAAAATCTGAACTACATTCATTTCAATTTTTCCTTGGGTACTAAAATAATAACAGATATTTAGATTGGTTTCTATATTCGAGAAGAATAATTATTTCAACCAACAACTACCTGTTTTTCCACGAGAAACTTACGCAAGCTGAGTAAATGCGAGGGTCTTTCCTATCAGTGCGATTCCCTACGAACTATCCAGAATAATTACATGCTAAAAAGTGTGAACTTTTACGGTCACATGTAACTGTGTCGAAGCTATTTTTCGAGTGTGTTGACTGTGGTCTTCAGGTTTGTATGTCTGACGTTTTGTCTACTATTGCGGTAGATGTTGTCAAAGGCGATGAGGCAACAAATGAAGTGCGGGTTGTTCTCATAGCAGATGATACGAATGGTGTTGGCGTCTACACTTTTGTTCAATTTGTGTCTTCGTTTATAATGGTGGAATTGAATAACTCCTTTTTGCGAGTATAATTTTGCTCAGGCAGCATAACAGTATTGGTTTCAATTCTTTCTTCTCTTCAATTATGATTGTTTTTGTGTTTTTGAATTCTCATTGCATCCCCTGTGTCTTGGATGATAGCTCTGAATTTTATCAAGCACCTTTGCCCGATCCAAAGCTACAAAGGAACCGCTATATATCCCTGATATTTTCAAAGTCCCTCTGATCGTGTTCGTTGGTCTAAATACTAACCTCACCTTATGTTGTTCGAGAATTCTCCCAAATCGGTCTGTAACATTTCTTGCATAGGACAAAAACGCTTCACCATTGACTAGCTCATTTGGAATTGTTTTCTTGGGTCATATCGTCCACAATAAATTCGGCTTCGCTATACTCATTTTCGATAGAGGCATTTTTAAGAGACTGAGTTCCTTGGGTACACTCTCAGGTTCACATATGTGTCGGATCCTCTCAACTAAAGTCTTAAATACTCTCCTCTTCCCCGTGAGTTGGGCTACTTATCGGGCGCGTCACCAGGTGGCGGATAGGGGAACAGCCAGGGGACTGGAGGCCCTATCCGGGAAGGCAAGGAGGCCTCACGGGAGGGGTTGCCGGACTCCTGGTCAGTGGCAGAAATAAGTAGGGTGAGGGGAACTAAAACCCCCAAAAGCCTTTCCAAAACATGCCACCGTGGACCAGCCTACCCAAGCTGAGGTATAAGGAATCGTGCCGACAGCTAAATGGCCGCCGGGTGATATGCGGTCACGAACTGGGGAACTGGGCGAAACCTCATTGTAATCAGCCTACCTCTGGTAATGCGAGGCTCTACCAGAGGTGACAAACCCTTCCATTGCTACTCGTGGGAACACACATGAATGAAACAACACAAAAACAGAAAGAACTAAAACAAAAACCAATCCCGAGGCTGGACAGAAGTGCTCACCTCAATCTAAGGCGGTGGCTGTGGATGAACAGTAATGTCCTCCCCAATCTACTGCTTGGAATGAGGCTGGACATAGCAGATCACCTCCAACAGCAAGGGCACTTTCTGCGGTGGGCGCCTAAAGCTCCGCCTTGAATAAAGGCAAGGAACCGGCTGCCCCTGTCACAAGTGAGGGAACTTTCCTGAAAGGAAAGTTCCTGAAAGGAAAGTTCCCTCACTTGTGCACCTCTTCGGTGGTGACCCCAAGAAGGTTGAAGAAGCCGCGCAACTACAGTAATATCGCTGCACCTTCCAAAACCTTCGCGGAGGCCACCGTGAGATACCTCAAGGTTGCCAAAGAGAGTGTGTGTTTCGGCGAGTCTTGGCCTACACTTGCTAATATAAAGGAGATGTCTCCTAGTGACCTATTCACCTCTCTGGAAAGGACAGGATGGACGATTACCTTGGAGGACAACTCCTCAGGAGGATGTACAATGGGTCACATGTGGCCTAAGTGCTAAGGCCGCACTCACCTTCCCTACTCTACAGATACAGATACTCTCCTCTTTCATCTGTTCGAAGTTTTCATTCGAATGCCCCCAAGTATCTATATGTTAACTTTCTGTGCAATGTATGACACATTGCACTGTGCATTGAGTAATAGATTGCCCTTCCTTTGTAAGTAAGGGAGAAATTTGTTGAGTTGCACTTCACTAAGCTGCCATACCATAAAAGTATCGTCAACGTTACGCATTCAACAAAAAGATCACTTTGTTCGAATTTTTACATGAAAATTTTGCCACTACAGGCCTTAATACACCCATCCACTGCGTTGCTATACGTTAGCTCATATCAATTGGAAATAATTTTTACTGATGATGGCGCTGCTCAAACGATTAATAGCAGATCGGAATGACTGAATGTTAAACATAGGTTATGTTTAAGGGAATGTTAGCCTTAACGGCTGGTGTCAATGTTTTGGTTGGTTTCCGGGTTTTGCCGTGGTTTCTACTTTGGTTACAATCTCCAAACGTTCCAACTGCAACTGCGACAGTTATTTTCATTGGCGTGGTCGAAGTTCTCTTCTTGACGTATCAATCGGCAACTCCGGTTGTGCTCGACTAGGCGGGTACTAATGTTCCTTTTCGTATGACCGTCTATTTGCAGTTGGAACGTTTGGAGATTGTAGCCAAAGAAGACCACGGCAAAACCCGGAAACCAACTGAAACATAGGTTATGTTTACCGATTTGGTGTTTTTTTGAGTGGTTCAACTGTGAACCTGTGAGAGTAATGTTTTTGGTGCGATTATTATAAACATGAGAAACTGATGAATACGTATAATAAATCACTTTCACTTTGTTTCTGTTTTATCTTCTGGCTCAGTTCCAATATATCTGAGACATTTTATGGAAATACTCCTGGAAAATATCTTCCACACAATTACCGTATCGACTTACTTGTGTTTTCAATCCTTTGAAAAACGTTTCGACTTGTTGCCTCTCGATTTCGGAAATCAATCCGCCAAGTGGTTGTTCTTTTTCCTCTTCCTCTCTATCAACTTCGTCGCTTTCTGCTCTACCCTCGCTTCCTTCTTCTCTTTCTCCGTAACTGCTCCCCGAAGCGGTTGTGCTCGAGTCGCCACTGCCTTCGCCAGTGGAGGACAGTCTTCTGCGACGTTGGTTGTTGCTGTGGAGAATATCGATCTAATTCAGAATATATTTATGAAGAGTCGAGAATTTTTCCGGAATTTTATAGAAATTCGATTCGACCAGAGCTCAAGAGCTGGAAAGAGAATTATCTATTTTCTGGTTAATACCACGACTGATATTGTTTTGAATTGCCTATACTACGTTTGGGGAGTGTTCAATTTTGACACAATAGTTTGAGAAATTTTGAAGGAAAAATTTTAATGAAAACTCCAATTGAATTTCATCTTTCAAAGCAAGAGAAAATCAAAATGTCAAAAGTCAGAATTAAATCTGTAGTGTATGTGTAGAAAGTGAAAGTAAAATGAAAAACATAAGTCTCATAATACTTCATTTTTACTATCGAAGTTTCATTAATCAAAAAAGCAAAATTAAAATAGAAATGTCATTTTTAGACATTGAAAGCTGAAATATGGAAAGATGAAGTATGAAAACAGATTTTACAATTGAAATACAAATTTAGGAAAGTTTATATTAGATATATAATTCATTTTCCAATTCTCCAATTATTTTAAATAGTTGAAATAGTCAATAAACTTCACTTTTACGATGGAAACCACAATTTTGACATTATGTTGAAATTTGTGAGAAATAAAGTTTACTACTGTACTCGAAAATCTCAGTTTAGACAGATAGGAGTAGAAGGTTTGAAAGCAGAGAAATAGACGAGTCAAAAGTAGTATAAATGAGCAGTATATTAAAGAATCAAATATTGTTTAATTAAACAATTCATAAACTTATAGCAGGGGAGCCCACGATGCAAAATGGGGATTTACTCGAGCGTCATTGCGACATATTAGGTTGCAGAACTTAGATGATAAGAAGAAAAAAATGTCATATAATATATACCTTTTCATCGGTGGGGAAAGCGTTTATAGATTTTTAAATATGTAAAAAAATACTGTTGCATGGACATACTCGAGCGCGTCAGATATTGATAGCATCAATGTCCTACGTATTTTTAATAATGTTGGTATGTTAATCTGATCGTTTGCATGATGTGGGTGGTTGTACGTAAGTGTTAAAAGTGAAAAGAAAAAAAAATTAATCGAGCGCGTCAGATTTTCTAAGGGGGTGTTAAGTGCAACAAAAAAAGCTCTCATTCAATAATCTCACGATTCCGATCTGACCCAAACTCGCGTCCATTATTTTTAATGTGCAAAAAAATTCGCCATTTTGAAATACTCAAGCGCGTCAGATTGAGATGTATATGGTTCATCTTTATGTTTTAGACGTGCTGTCTAATAATCTGACGATTATCTAGAGGGATTCGCTTAATCTGACACAAACAATATTTTTTTTTATTCATTGAACTTGATTAATTGAAAAGCTCAGGAAATAGCATGCAAATAAATAAGTGTATGTTTTTTAAGTAGAATACTTGTATTTATAAGAGAATAATTAGAAAAAATGCCCAAAAAAAGTTAATTTTTTATAACCAACTGATTAATTAATGAAGAAAAGAGAAATAAAACTTTCCATATATTGTATAAGTTTGAAAATGTCCTTATAGGACGAAACTGTAGTAACGTCAGTTACAAATAAAAGTGGTAAAAAACATAGAAAGTTTAATTTTTCTTTTCTTCATCATTTTTTCCTACTACGTAGTAACGGCTACATCCATCAATTAATTGATTAATTAATCATCATCTTCATCACGAACGAGTCTCTGTGATCAGCTGTGATGGCGTCATGTCAACAAAATTCAGAGTGGGGACGGAGTAAGAGAGTAATAGATAGAGAAAAATTGAATAGAGGAATAGAAATTCGGAGAAGGAAATATAGGTATCATACAGCTGCACGCATTAAACTTTATCGACGAACTTTTGTTATATCGGCTTGCGGAAATCGACAGATTATATATTTTTCGTTATCCTTGAATTATTTCCTTCAAAATAAAAAAAAATTAGCTACGCTCGAGAATGTCGAAATGGCGTTATTTTTTTACAACTTTGCTGCCCTTCCCTTTCTCTCAAATTGTCAGATTACTGGAATATACACTTTTTAGCAGGTAATTACCTCACCCTACCTTAATCTGACGCGCTCGAGAAGTTCTGATGATCAATTTTTTTTACTAATCTGATCCATATCACTCACAGGCGGCCTTATATCTGGGGCTCATATTTGGTGGAGGTACTTAACCGGGTACAAGGTATACCCCTGTATATCAATCTGTCGCGCTTTACTAAATCCCGAAATCCCCGCTTGGGCTTCCCGATTATTAACTCTAGTTACTAAATATCGTATTTAGCCCTTTCACTTACTATCAGAGCTGAATCTTTTGAAGTAAGCTAGAAATGATCTGCTGAATATTCATTTTAATTATGGAAACATTACATAACTGTAATATTCTGATCGGTGATAGACTGTTATGGGATACAGTAACATCCGTCTATTTCTGTATTTTAATGTTTCTCTCATTATAGTTGACATAGGTTATGGATGAACTGGTATTTTATATCTCGAAGCAAACAGATACTTTCAGCATAACGATTTGTTCAATTAGTGAATTATATTTACTGTGTAACACACACTAGTGTTACAAAAAAACAAAATAATATACGAAAAAATACCTTTTCTCCGATTTTTAATCATTGTAGTGAAATAGTAATTGATTTTAAAAAGTCAGATTCTTCTATTGAATATCTGATAACAATACACAGCAAAAATAATTTCAAGAAATTCAATTTTTCTCTTGGTATCCACAAAAAGTTCACTGTTCTGAACTCACTTTAAATTTAACTCTAAACTTTTTTGTAGAAAAATCTAGTGAGATTTTCGAACCATCTCTTGCTACAAGTCTCTAAACTCTTGGTTTTTCAACAAAACAGAAATTCTTCTTCGAAAAAACTTTCATCGATTTACGCTGAAACAATTTTGAAAGATTTGAGGACCAATTCAAGTTATCTACCTGTAAAGGAAATCCTGATACGAGTCGTATTTCTGAGAAAATCTATTTATGGCGTAGTCCGCATTATCGTTTTGTTTGGATGAGATCGATAGAGTTGATATGCGTTTGTCTATCGGAATGGAAGCAGAACTGCTGTAGATGGGGTGTTCTGCTG